CTGGTGAACAGCATGCAATGCCAGGTTTCCCACTAACAGACAAAGAAAGCCATATTAGATGTTCTCAGTGGAAACATTACAGTGTCATGTCAAAGTTGAATTTAATTATTGAAAAACAAATGTGTTTGTTAAGTGTAACATGTGACAATTTGCTTTAAAATGCTGCCAATTTGGTGAAAAATTCTGTAAAATTTGAAAGTTGATTTTTTTTTGTATGTTACATACATACAAAAATAATTTATGTAACAGTGCATGACTTGTTAAAATTTGTTAGTGGTAAGTGAAAATATAGTAGAAGTGATCACTTCAAAATGTAAATACTTGCAAAGATTTATAGAAATAAAGCATTGCATATTGATATTTATATTCCTACCTTGTTTCCTACTTGCATTCTTTATAATTATGGTGAAAAATAATTAACATAATTAGTGTCTTTACATAGATGAATATCATTAATTATTAATGATAACACATAATTAAGTTAAATTGAGGAAATTTGTTATTTGAGAAGTGTGCGTCAAACTGGTAGCCCTTCACATTAATCGGTACCCAAGAAGTAGCTCTCATTTTCAAAAAGGTTGGTGACCCCTGCTGTTGAGCAAAAACTGTGGACACAGCAACAGTTGATAGAGAAGTGTTTAAGATGAATCTTGGCAGAGTGAGACAGAGCTCGTTAAGCAGGCAGGTGTGAGCCTGGTTGCTATAACGACTCCAGCAAGTGGCACCACACAGACAGACACAGACATGCGCCTCACTTCTGCTGCTTAAAATAAACAGAAAAGTCAGCCCGAAACAAATCCTTCCCAAATGAAAAGTCCACGTCGTATTGACAAAATTCTTTCACCGTGAGCAGCAGCAATGTCTAGTCTACTGAATTCTCAGTTTTCATGCCTGTGGAGTGACGTGGTGACAGTGTAAAGCCTGTACTTCTGATTTTCAAACAAACTTTCTGAGCTATTTTAACATTGGAGTCTATGGAAGAGTTGGAGGGAGGAGGCTGTGCATTGGTGACATTTATGACAGAACACACGGTATAAACCATAGCACATTGGATGAAACTGGAACTGAAGAAAAAGTATAATAGATATTGAAAAGATAAATAAAAGTTGAATAGTTCATTGTCTTGGCTTCATTTTAAAGTTTGAATGGTGGTTCTAGGTCAATGTATGTGGAAGTAGATAGAGTTGAAAGAGGAGTAAGTTGAAGGAGAATTTGAAGGGTCTCCCCATTGAAGTACTTTTTTTTTTAATAAAGTTGAATAAATGTAAAAATATAAATGTTAAAAATGAGAGAAATAGAAGCACACATGTCCAAAAGAAGAGGAATCTAACGGTGTTTGAATGGTTTCTAAGTTGAACGGTTTTGTAGTAGGAGTCTAAAAAACGTACGAAATAGATAATAAAATTTAAAAATAATAATAATAAAGATTAGAAGAACAATACTGTGAATGCTTTTCAAGCATTCAAACTAATTATGAATGCAGAAAAGTAATATCAGGTTTTGGATCCACCATGCATTACCATCTGCAAAGTGTCTGATTGGCAGTGGCACCGCTAATTCAGTAAAATTGTACCTGGATAAAAAACACACAACAGAACACTAAGAGTCATGGATTGGACTCCCCAGAGCACAGACCTCAACTCTTGTATATTGTATTTTCATGTATGTTTGCACCTTTTACCCAACAACATATAAATAAATGAGGGGTCACATGAAGACTTTTTCACAGTACTTTATATATGCGCATTAAGGAAAAACTCTTTATGCTGTGTATCACTGTGGTAATAAATAGTTGTTGTTGTGGGGTTTTTTTTCCATTTGCACCATCCTCCATCTGTAACCAGGTGTTCCACCTCTGGAAAAACAGACTCGTGAAATAAGTGACCTTGTCTCTTATGGCCAACATCATCAGGACTGTGCCATAGAGGTCCACTAATGCACATTAATCCTCCAACACAATGACCCCAATCCCTTAAATCTGTCAACAGGGAGCTGATGCTCCAGATTACAGATCCAGCTGTAATGATACTAAGGAACTCCTGTCTCGTTTGAAAATTCACATACAATTTATGATTTACAAACTTCATTATATGCAGTAGTAACGGCTGCTGTGCGTCTGGATTTCAATGGATTACCGTACTGCCAGTATAAAGTGGCTGGGATTATGCTTTATAATGCTGTTTTCCAACCACTCCTTTTTCAGCAAAATCTTGTATGAAGAGTATGAGTAACTGAAATCCTCTCTCAAAACTGTGATAAAGCCAAACATTTCACGCTGACATCATCTAAATGGCATTTAGTTTATATGTAGGAGACTGAGATTGGATGAATCTGACAGCAAAAAGGTTTCCAAAAAGCCACAGCATTTCAGTGGAAAAGCGCGGTGAGACATATTTTGTTATTGTTGTCACACAAACTGTGCAGCTTTTATATCTTAATCAGTTCTGTGTCTGAACTTTTGAGTTCGGAATTCTCTGTCCTGTTTGATACAGAAGGTCCACAATCAAAGATGCTCGGCTATGATCCAGCACAGAGACAGCTTTAAATCACCGCTTATCTCTGTTTGTTTACTTTTTCTACTGTTGCTGGACAGATAAATCGACTGGAAAGGAGAGACGGGTTGTGCACATACAAAAACGCTGGGCCTGTAGGTAGAGAATTTGGGAGAAAGTTATTAAAATTGCTTTTATCAACACTCTAAATCCACCCGATGCTGTTGTGCAGCAGGGAGTGACAATGTGCGCTGACATATCCAAAGCTGCCAATTCCTGAGGTGCGTGGCATCAGATTATCTGGGCTTCTTTAAGCTGGTGAGGTTGTTTATGCATCACAGTTACAGAATGCAATTTTAAAAAGGTGTAGCTGTGGTCACCTCAGAGACACAGGAAGGGGGGCTGGAGAAAAAGAGACAAATGAGCCATGAGATATAATATGCAAGCCTGAACCATTGATAAAATACCTGGAATTCTTTGGGGACACAGTCAGGCTACACAGAATGAGAATCAGTTTTTTTCTGCTGAGTTTTTTCATCCTCTCAGTGTACAAGTCATTTTATACAGCAGGACAAAATCCTGGCAGGCACAACAAATACATTGCTGTCAGAGTGACATTTCCATGATAAAATCAACCTTAAATGACATTCAGCTGTGATTAAACATAATCAAATCCCACTCAAATTCCTACTAAAGCTTTAGCCTGTAATCCAAACCATTCACTGTACTTTCCTATGAATCACTTTACTATTTAAAAAAACAAAAACAGTAGCTGAATTAAATCCATTTTCAATTATAAAAAGAATCAATCTATTTTCTCTTTATTGATAGAATCTTGCAGGAAATACACATCACATTTTGGTTTTAAAAAAGCAGGATGTCACAGAGAAAAAAAGGCATTTTTTTTGTCATTCACACGTGAAAAATCTTACAGTTGAATGAATATGTGCACTGTGAGAGCAGACCAAGATTACACGTCTTTTACAATTTGTAGAAGCAAGCCCCCAGGAGAAGCCCAAAGCCCAAGGTATCACTGTTAAAAAAAATTTCAGGAACAATGTCCATCTCAAACTCTGCACAGACTATTTGCATAGCCTGCATTTGATTTAAATAAATATCTGGCGGAGACTGTAGTGACAGATTGCTCAAAATAACTTGATAAATGTTGCATATTCTCTGACAAATTGCACAGAGTCCTCAGGTATTCTCTAGAGGAGTCCTACAAGAAAGTACAAAAGGCTGGAAAAGAATAGAATTACTAACAAGAAACAGTCCCTCCTGTACTGGTTTTTACCCTGAACTGAGCAATATCTGGAGCTGTTTCTGCAGGAGCAACAGAACTGTTGAAAAGTAAGAGGAGATGAAAATGCAGTTGTCTTGAATTTGAAATGTGGAAATAACTAACATAGCATAGAGAGTGTTTGTTAATATTTACATAAATAAATCGGAGCCTATAGGTTTCTTTTATCAGAGGATAAAACATGCAAATTTATTTTAATCTTACTAATAAACATCACTTCATCTTCATGTGCACAGGTTTGCACATTATATAGAAAATGTCATTCATGTAATCACATATACATCCTTTTCCCTTTTTTTATAAAGAAAAATTAAAGACTTTGTTTTCCTTTTATACATCCTTTACACATACACACACCTAAACAAACTCACTGGGGTTCTCCTAGAGGTTTGACTACAGGCCATGGCATGTCAGGTAAAGGTGTTTGAGGTTCAGCGGAGGCCTGCTGTTGCTTTTGCTTCTGCCGGTTGGCCCAGTCTAACTCAATACCGTTCTTCTTTAGCGCAGCCAAGTGCTTGATGTCCAGCGTGGTGAAGGTGGTGAACTGGACCTGGTTTCTCTTACTGGTGGGGGAATGAAGAGGCTCACTGCGGTGTGGCCTCGCCAGTAGGGTAGCTGAACGATTTGCCATGGGGTCGATTGCCTTTCCTTGAAACTGCTGGTGCTGAGAGCTGTTCCTGCTTCGTCCTAGGGTTGCAGTTCTTTCTGGGACAGCCGTGGTGCTCACTGTAGGCAGAGTGCCTTCCAGGCCGCGATGACCCATGGAATCTATCGAGTGGCGGGACTGCAGAGGGCAATGAGGCTCACGTTTTACTGTGGACACTTGAGCCGGGGCACCTGAGGCAGGAGCACTGTGATTGCTGTTCCCAAGCCAAACCCAGTCATGTTTGTGATCTTTTGTGTCTCCACTGGGGGCTGTGCCTGCCTGTATGGGGGTCTTTTGTTTCCTGAAACAGAGACTATAAGAAGCACAATTGAGCAGAAAAGCCAAGATGGCAACACAGGAGACCCCCACCAAGGCATACATGCCAATTTCCATGTCAGTCATAGCTTTGAATGTCCTAATGAGGTCACTCTCAATTACTTTGGGAGTTTTAGAGTTAGGAGGCTCCTTTTTGGGTCTAACTTCTACTTTAGGAGTATCATTGTCAGGAGAGGCATCGGGGTTGTCAAGCATGTTTCCATAGCTTACCCCAGGACCTTCCTCTTTACGGACAACACCCACTGTTGCTGTGGGTTTGGCAGTGCTAAGTTGTGTATTTAAGTTTAATTCCTTTATTCTTGTAGGAGAATCTGCAGTAGAAACAGTATAGGTGGAACCTTTTGGTGCTTTGGTTGTCTTTCCGATCCAGACAACATGGGCCTGTGGATTTCTAGTTGAAAATGTCGTTGGAGTGGTAGTTTTTACCAGAATAGACTCTTGCTGATCAGATGTGTTGGCCCTGTTGAGCTGTTTATCCATCTCTGTGGCAGCAGTACTTGTTTTGCCCATCACTTTTGATGCACTGCCATTTAAATCCTTACTTCTGTCAGTGCTTCCTTTCCCTTCTCTTGCTACACTTCTGCTACTACTCTGTAAGTTGATCTTGAGAAGCCCCGAGCCCACTGCCAGCTTGCTTTTCCTTTTAGATTTTTGGCATTCCTCACAGATCCTCAGCTCCACTCTCACTGGCGCCCCCTGGCCTTCACCTTCACCCTCTGCTACTACAAATGCTGACTGTGGAGTGCGGCGTATTGTGGCCACCCGCTCATCTGGGGTAGAAACAGTCAGAGAGTAGATACTGCGGTCAAACAGGTCCAGTGGAGCAACTGCCCCATCGCTGAAAGAAACCCAGCAGCTGACCAATGCTTCCTATGAAAGAAAGAAAAAAGGTTATATGTAGAAAATCAGGTCAGAATACCGGCGGTCAATACCTCCCTTGGGCTATAGTCTCATTATTGTTAATAACATTAAACTGCCTATGCCAATCCCTTTAAAGTATATAATATCAATGTTAATCTCTTCAGAGTAAATGCCAGTAAGTAGTTTATCTAACGTTATCCACCCTGGTTGAATTGCATTTCATACCATAAAGATATTATGAGTGTCTTATAAACGTCCTTCAAAAAGAAACCCAAAAAAGAAAAATTTATTAACATGGGTCACATTAAGAACAGAATTGGCCAGTCAAATTACATTAATGCAGAGTGACCTATTTCCTGTAGCTAATGTGAGTTACTGACTCGCCAAAGACCTAACCTATATTTTGGATTTGAATACATTATGAATGGCCCTAAGCAAAACATTAACACCCCGCCATCACAGACACAATTGGCTTGTCATGGGCACTGGCATGGTTCTAATAGTTTGTTATTGACGGGGCAGATCAGCAACAGTCACTGTGTACTGGAGGTAAAGTGAGTTGTCGTTCCAGCAGCTATGGACCGCCTAATTGCTGCCCCATGCCTGCGACAGGGAGCTGGTTTAAAATGGGCAGGCTGCCATGGCTAAATGTGTGAGTGAGCTTTTAAAATGATCATCTATGCACCCTGTCTGCCTCTCCCGCTCTTTCACACAGCATGGTTGCTGGAGATGATGGTCGAAGCTGTGAACACAAAGAACTCCTATTCAAAGAGGCGAGGAGAAAACACAAATATTATTAAACCCCTGAGGTCACTGGTATGGGAATCTGCTCTGCTGCGGCAGTACTTTTAATTCAAGTTCTTTCTGTAGGAGGCCATTATATCTGTGTTGCAGGATGAATATTTAGGATATGTTAATAACGGCTACTTTATTATGGCAAGTTCAAGTGTAATTTTAAGGGCTGTCTCAAAAGGTTTTCAATGAGAAACATGGTTTTTATGTTGCTTATACTACCTCTGCTCCTTGTGTGAAGGAACAGCTGAACCCTAACTGGAAAAACCCTTAAATTAATGCTGAACAGTGCATTTATGACCCAAGGCATTTCTCTTCTTGCACTTTTATTTGCAATCCTTGAAATTCAGACTGCGATTAAAGAAGCTGAAAACCTTCATGATATATGAGAAAGCCAACCTGCAATGCTCTCACACTGGGATGTTTCAGACAATAACAAACCATAAAGGCTTTTCTTCTTCTTCTTCTGCTTTTGGCTTCTCCCTTTAGGTGTCACCATAGTAAATCATCTACCTCTGCCTCTGTCCTAAGCCCCAATCTCAACCCTATTAAACATTTGCGGATTACGCTTAAAACCGAGGTCTGTGCCAATTCTGCCAAGAAGGACGGTCAAATATCCAGACAGAATTATACCAGAAGCTTTTTAATGGCTACCAAAAGCATGCAGTTGAGGTGTAACCTGCTGAGAGGCATCTTACCAATTATTAGTAGAGGTATAAGTATATATTTGAGCCTGTATGTGTACTTTTAGCCATGTGTGGATTAGAGAAAATCTAAAATAACATCAAATTTGTGCACTTAATTCTTGTTTTTTTAAAGTCACTAAAGACGAGCTGTTTAATCATTCCATCCTGGGAAAAAAAAGTTCAAATAAAACATCAAAACCACCATGGCATTCATTCCCATAATCAGTATATGTAAATTTCTGAAAACAACTGTATAACACATAAATGACATGTAGTGTATGAGGACTTGTTTTCAAATGAAAAAGTGGAACTTTTTTTCTTAAACTTTAGTTAGACTTTTTAAATCTGCTAAGAGTACAACAAACAATCTTGGACTACAGAGACAAGTCTGTGAATGCAATGATGTTATTTATGCTCTTGCTTTATTATGCATGCATCTGAATAACTGTTTCCAGGCTGGTGTCACTAATAAAAGGAGGGAATTTGTCAGTGGAGCTTGGTGATGAATGCCAGGAGGCTACTTGTTAAATGTCTACACCTCCACAGAACAACGACAGAAAGATGTTTTATGACAAAGGCTTACAAAGTTAAGAAAAAGAAGGAAAGAAGACAGACTGTGCACTCTCACAATCAACATTTAAACACACAAAATCTGCAAATTCTGAGTTCCCGTGATCTTAACTAAGCTGTCTTATGATATCCTGCCTATGGGGACAAGTCTGATAGACACTTCCACAGCAGTAGATCAGAATTTTCAAAGATGCAATTTTAAAGAAAAGTTCATATCAGGGATTCTCAACTTGTGTTTTTTTCTAGGGGCACTCTTGCACACTCTTTCACAATGATATGAGGCTGATCATAATAAACAATATTATTTATCAGATAAAAATGAAAATGGCAGCATAAAGGCCCTCACTCATCTTTGATTGAAAGGATGGATGGATGGAAACACAAATGGAAAAACAACTGCCACATACACATGATCAGATGGATAGATAGATGGATGTTTTGGTATAGAGTGGTGTTGAGGGACTTCTTCAAATAACATGAGTGTATTTTCTATCAGTTATCAGTTCAATTTTAGAATACATTTCATGCTCACTTGCTAGATCTACTAATCCAGTTCATAAAAAAATGTGATTGAGTATCATATGATCAAGCAGTTATTCTGTTTTCCCAGTGAAACGTTTGCAGTGAGGCTAAAAATGAATAACTCTCAAATTAACATGCATGAAAAATTCTATTTTCATGCTTGTTAAGTATCATCATGAACAAATGAGATGTGCTTTAAACTGGCATGCTTTTGTGTGAAACAATTTTCCAGCTGCTCACCTGTTTGCGCTGCACGATCGTCTCCTTAGTGGTTGCCGTGGCAACAATAGCCCTGTTGCTCCCTGGACTGAGCTGCAGGGACAGAGAGAGCCCAGACACCAACTGCACTCCGAGCTGTGTCACACTCACTTTATCATCCACCACCCTGATGCTCGTCTCAGCCAGGACCGCTGACGTCAGGGGGGACAGCACCTGCAACAAGTTCATCCTTCTTCCAGTTAAAGATGGATATTGCACAATGCTCACACCACACTCACACACACACAGTAAATGACTCACCTGTACAGTGGTAGTGCCCACAGCCCTTCCTTGCAGCACCACCCCATCCTGCACCCTAGCTATATCCGGATCTGCTATGTTTAGAGAATAGCGTACAAGGTTGGTCACATCTATCTGCCAATCAAAACAAACAGGAAAAAAAGGATAAGCACTGTGTGGCAAAAGGTCAGGTGACTTTTAATCATAGTTAGCACAAGCATATAGAGAAAACCTATCATCCTCTTCTTTTGAAATGTGACAGTGTATAATTACTATGACTTCCCTATACTTACAAAGCATGAAACTGAAGAATGGGCATGTCAAGCCTTATAAAACCTGCTGACAAGTGAGCTTTATTTGGAAATGTTAAAATGCTTGTACCTGCCAATCAGAACCCAGAAAGTATTCAACTGTTTTTTCCCCAGTTAGCGGGTCTGGCAGTGCCTCAGTGTCAGGCTGGGCTACAAAGGGTGTGAGCACCCTTACTGTAGAGTGCTGATACTGTAGCATGCAACCCCTGCCTTTCCTCATCTCCTCCTCTTCTTCACTGTCCCATGTAGACCTGACACACAAAAAAAGCATAGGGACACAATGAGCTACACGTTTCTTGCAGACAGATGGATATAGAAGGCCTGTTTTAATATGTTTAAATATATACAGTAGTAGACAGTTAGCACAGGTTATCAAAATGACTGCAAGCCTTATAAATATATATGTGTTGCAGTTAAGAGTGGAGAAATTATACCAACAAAGCCAGACTTGCTATCTCTAACTTCTTCCAGTGGTGTACATACAACTGACACAAAAAAAAATAATCATTTATTTATTCTTTAACAATAAGGACTGATAAGCTGAAGAAAAACCGAAGACCAGCAGTGAAGCTGCTGCTATTATAGAGGCACGATGCATGCTGAGTGACCTTTTCCGCTAAATGAATTGAAGTTAAATTAAACAGGATCCCACGGCTGAGTGGTTTGTTTATGGGTGATAGAGGTTAAGCTGTGAACCATCCTCAAACCCCTCAGCAATGATCATATAATTATCAGACACGCAGCTGGTCTGTCACACACTGCACCACAGGTGTGCTGGAGGGTTGGAGAATATGTTTTTACACTGCAGGCGCAAAGTTGCTGTCAAGAGCTACAGTCCCAATAAACATCATTATTATATAGCCTAAGGTGAGAGCTTAACGTGATGGAAATGCTGCTTAAATCAGCGTGACTCAACATCAGACAGCAAAGTTACTTTAAATCTAGTTCATGAAAATGATCAGCATCTTGCTGGCCTTCCATATGCAGGGAATGAACAGGACTTATTTTTGCTCCATCACATACATGTACTAGTTCTGTTCAGAACTTTTGAGCCACCCCTCATTTCTTTATATTTTGCTACCAAGGAGTCAGATTTTTTTGTACTTTTTAAAAGTGGTCATGAGAAATATTTCTCCGGGCTTTCTGGAAGTCTTTCAGAGTTTTTTGGACATTGGCTGCTTTTTCACTTCTTCTATATCCAGTTATTGAACTTCATAATACTGACCTATGAATCATTCACCCAGGGATGAACCAGGGTTGTGTCTGCACATAAAAACTAAAACTTAGGAAAGAAATTGTTTGAAATTGTGTCCTTAGGCACTTTGTTACTAGCTGCCTATCACAAAATACATTATTTGTTCCCATTTCTTTTGATTGGTCTAAAAAATGTCAAAGATAACACAGTTTAATAGGCATTAAAATAATATTTTTGCACCAAGCAAGTGATTCCCAAAGAACTATAAACCAAAACTTGGCACATCACAAGGTGGGTGTGCAATGGACAAGTGTAGAACAAAAGAATAAGTGACATCCGTAAAAAAAAAACCCAAAAAACACTACCTACAAGAAATAAACAGTATCTGAAAATCACATCCACCAAAGACCTGAAACAAGGCCTGAGAAATGCATCTGGCCCTTCAGCAGATCCATCTACTATTTACTGAGTCTTTCAATCTTTCATGAAGCCATTCTCAAAGGAAACAGAGAGAAAAGGCTGAATAAACTTTTTTTATACAGCACCGTTCACAGGTCAAAAACTACAAAGTGCTTTACAATAAAAACAGGCATAAGAAACACAGAAGATAAAAACATAACATCATACAACCTAAAACAAGTTAAAAGCCAGTCTGAATAAATGAGTTTTCAGCTGCTTCTTAAAAGAATCAGCAGAATCAAGACAGCACAAACAGAGGGAGGGAATTCCACAATCAGGGACCCACAACTCTAAAGGATTTATCCCCTCTGGTCTTAAAATGAGTTTGTGGGATTGTTAACAGCCTTAGACTGAAAGATCTCAGACTGCGAGAAGAGGTGTAGGATTCTAGAAAGTCAGAAATATAGGCTGGGACTTGACCACGCAGGGCTCTCTGGTACAGAAAACAGCAGAGTTGTGTACCAACTGGAGACGGTCAAGATCCTCTTATTCAAACAGTTGAAAAGGCTGTTACACTAATCACGATGAGATGAAATAAAGGCATGAATAATCATCTCTAACTCAGCTTTTGACACAAGAGTTCGAAGTTTAGAAATATTTCTAAAAAAAACAGTTTCTCATTAATCCACGAGACTGGCTCTCCAATGGCATGGCTGAATCAAGCATAATACGAAGGTTTCGGAGGTTTGGTTTGACAGAGGTATGCCAAGTTACACAATAAGTGGTTTAAAAATGTGTGGCAACAGAGAGTGACGAATCCAAATCTGGACATTTTTGGTTAAAATGGTTGTCAATATGTACAGAGGAGTTCAAAAGAGAAGTGCAACAGTGAATTTCAACAGCCACCTCTAAAAAATGGTGGATGCTCTGTCACAGTTTGGTGCTACATTTCATTCAGTGCTGTTGGGGATCGCTTTAAAATTGACTGAATTATGAATGCAGAAAAGTATATCCCTGTCAACCAGTAAAATTTGTGCAGGTTACAGAGACTTTACTAGATCACCTGCAAACTGACAAACTGCAAATTTTGGATGTGGTCAAAAAATGCCTGTAAATGCCTTCTTTTATAGTTTAAACCCTAAATATGCATTTTGGCAGCATCTTAGGGATTTAAGAAATCGACACGCTGTAAACTGTTATGATGTGTGAATGCTGGACTGTCAGAGATGGGATGAAGAGAGATAAATAAAGCTTTCATGGGTACCCATACTTCCAAACCTTTGATAACACAAGTACTTGACCATGCCAAGCCGCTGTTTCCTCTTAAAAAAATCTTTGCGATTTTTCCCCCGAACAACTATTAGTTGATTCTTCTTTAGAACCTGTGAACAACTAAGGTTGAAAACTCTGAACCACGACTAGAGTTGGTTGTCCCGAGACTGGTCTTGGTCTTGAGACCACTTTTACGTGGTCTTGGTCTTGTCTTGGTCTTGGATTCCTCAGTCTTGTCTCGGTCTTGCTGTCTCAGATCGACACAGTGGTTGGGAGATTTGGAGTCAACTGTATCCATGACACACAACTTAACGTTCGATAATGTGTCATGCGCAAAAGCATCGGCTCTAAGAGCCGTGCTTAGAGAGTGCTTTGTAGTGAATCAGAAGAGTCGACTCCCATTGAGCGAGAGCCGGCTCCTCACTTAATTTCCTTTCGCTGCTCAGCTCTCACACAGTGGCTCAGCTATGCTCCAATCCCTCCATATTGTGGCCAATCATATGCGAGAATATAGGATAATATCATTATGTGGAAAACAGAGAGGGTGAGAGACGTGACAGTCAAGTGGAGCGTGCGTCTGTCCTCTCAGTGAGTGAGACAGTAGACAGCGATGAGGAGGGCTGTGCGAGTGCATCGCAAAAACACATAAATATGCCTGACACCCGTAAACGAAGCAGCATCTGGCTGCAGTTTAAAGACTTTTTTGTCTCGGTCTTGGTTTTGGTCTCGTCTCGACTTTGTCTTGGTCTTGACTCGGTCTGACTTGGTCTTGTCTTGGTCTCGATAACCTCTGGTCTTGGTATTGTCTTGGTCTTGGTTTAGGTGGTCTTGACTACAAGTCTAACCATGACTTCACAGGTTATACTGTAGATTTAGCAATACCATCTGCATCTGAGATAAATGAAGAAACCTTTGACTGCCCTTCAAGAAGTCTGGAGAAGCTAAAAACTTCTTAATTATAAGAAAGCTGTCTAAGAGAGTTCAGGCTGTGCTGACAGACAAAGTGTTCATACCACCTATGAGTTTCAAGCTCATTAGAACTACGCAAACTCTGTTTTTGCTCTTGATACTGTATTTCCATGTATGTTTGGACATGTTTTAATAAATCACTGCAAGAAAAATGTAAAGAAATGAGAGATGGTAAAAGACATTTGCACAGTGATGTATATTTTGCCCTTGATTTTTAAGATTTCAGAGAGTAGCTTTTAGAAACACTGTACCACAAAACTTTGAGATTTCTATGTTTCCTCACTTTTCAATTCGTTTTTTCAATAACCCTTAAACCAGCACGCCTTTTTAGGATTGCTAGGCTGCAAATCAATAATCACAGTATTAGTGTTAATTAAACAGTATAAGTGTTCATTGATTACAAGTGTTTTACATTCTACAAGTGTTTAAGAGTTTATTTTGAAACCAAAAGAGAGTGAAAAACATGCTGAGGTGAAAAATTTCCATGAATCTACATAGTTTTTTAAGATATAAACATATGAAAAACCCATAAGAAGTCTGACCTTAAGTTTTGCCTGCATTATATTATCTATCTATCTATCTATCTATCTATCTATCTATCTATCTATCGAGAGAGAGAGAGAGAGAGAGAGAGATTAGTGTATTCCACAGTATAGGATGGAAAATAACATTGAGCACCTTTATTACTTGCGAAAGTGAGAGAAAAATAGAGAATAGTCAGTACAATCACTGTTGAAATTTCACAATACTGACCTAATGTCCCTTTGAGCCCAGAGCTGGGTAGTGAATGTTTTGGGAAATGACAGCCCATCAGGTGGCCATCATCATTAGTATTGAGTGGGGAAAATAGTGACTCGTATTGAGTAAAATCCCACTAACCTTTACCTCCAGGGCAACTGCGTTGCCTTTACACTCGCCTGCTCACTAATGTACCAAACACAGATGTGATGTTGTTTGCTATGACTGACTGTAAAGAGTGCACAGATGGATATTAGAAACACACCACTCAGTATAATGTCATTCAATTCAACACCACCATTAACAGTCTCAACATGTACCAGCTGATTGTTTCTGAGCCAGTGTCAACAAAAACATTTAAAAAAAACAAACAAACAACACAGCAAAGATTTCTTACAGGTTAAACATCAACTTCAGACTTAAACCTGGTTTTTATCTGAAACAGCAGTAATAATAGAATAGCACTTTATTGTGCCATATATATGTGCAGTGAATTTGTGGAGGATGGTGTTAGCTGTGGTAGGAAACAGACTTCCATTCCTATATGTCACATGCCTATGACGTATAGGTCAATGGGAACAGCTTTAGGTCTTGGCCTCTGTAAACATGTTGGGTCATATTGAACAAAAGATTAAGTCTGTTTTGTAACTCCTGGTAATACCATGCTTCAAAATGGAG